GTATCTATATTTGTTGAAATGATATGAACATTGTTCTAGTTTTATTTCTTTACAATTTATGAAACTTCGTTTTTTTTTGTATACTTTGTCCATATAAACAATGTGTAAATATATATATCTTGCATTAGACTGCCAATAAAAATATTGGTCACAATCACGCAGTTCACTACTCATCAAAGTATTTGAAAGATTTAAGTAACAATGAAATTTCTATCTAATATTTTTGAAAAATATTATTTATTTTATATTCAATAAAAAAATTTCTAATGTGTAATATTTTACTCGGCAGTCTTTAATCACAAAAACGATTGTTGAGAAAATTTTCGAATAACATTCGAAACAATATAACTCGGATAGAATAGAAAGAAAACAATTATTACTTTTCATGTTGCCTTCAGTGAATCATTTGTTGATGATAGTATTGGAATTAGAGATAAGAAGAAAAAGAATAGGAAATATAATAATAAATGCTTTCAATAATATAATACGAAAATGACAATTTGGAAATTATATCGAACAATAAAGATTAATTGGCAAATACATTAGAGGAACATAACCAACTACTAATTGACAGATCCAAGCTAATCTATTCAAATCATCGAGATACATATGTTTATTGAGATAATAATACAAATTGCACCATATCATTCTTATTATATTGGAAATAATGATCTTGAATGAAATAAAATCAATAAGATTAATTATATTTTAGTGGTGAAATCTGAAATCGATTCATGTCAAAGATCATTTCTTCATTGTGACTCTTGATGATATTCAGAATTGTTGTGAGAGCATTAAGATTAGAAGGTGAGTGTGAAGAAAATTTTCATATAAGATAAACTAAAAAATACTTCTAGAATATTCTGTTAACTTTCAGAAGACCAGTTTTCTAATAATCGAAACTGATTGAAGATCGATAAAAAAAACTCGACTCAAATCTATACGTTCTGTAATATAGAGAATGACAATGTAAATATTTTATATTTTAGCTTCATCAGAGATTGCAATAACAAGTCGTATTTTGAAAAATTTTGCGAATCTCAGATGGCGAACATACGGATGCGAAGAACAGAAACTTCTCTTTACTTACATCCACACAATGATCATACAGAATGGTTGTTTTTCAGATTAGTCAATCTTTTTTGATAGATTTTCAAAAAGTAATTATTGATAATATAAATATGTTTTTGGAGACTATATACTGGCAAAATTGTAAATGAAAAATCTCTCAGTATTTACAGTATATACTTCGACTATCATTCATTCATTCATTGTTTTCTTGAATTTAAAATTTTGTACCTTCAAAAACACGTGATTATATTGTAACAATTTTTTTTCTTGTGTCACCTTATTATAACTGTGAAAATCTCTCATTCATGGAAAGAATGTGAGTTGTTATTATAGATACTATTGCGTTCGAACGATGATGATGTATTCGTTTCGTTCGTTATCGTTGTTCTTTGACGCAGACTCGCATTTGTTTGCACAAACACACTTAAAAATGAATGATAAAAATAATCTTTCGTTTAGTAGCAAACAAAACACATTCGCATACCTAACAACTTACCAAGCAACAAAAAAAAAACGTCTATCAACAAAGAAAAAAAAAGAAACCATTTCTATTTAACTAAGAAGACGAACTAACTAACAAATGAAAATTTGCATTCATCTTCATTTATTGTATGATCATCGATTGATAAGCAGTATATGATTATTAATTATGTGTTTGTAAGACGAACGAAATAGCAAATAAAGACAAGAAAGAAAGAAAGAAATACGGCAGAAAATGGTAGTCTTTTTTTTAATACTTTCGATGAGATTTTTATTAACTGAATGCAATGCCCATGAAAAACATTTAATGCAGCCAAAGACAACTAAAAGAAAAAAAACAGCAACAATATTTTTAAATTCCATTTATGATTAAAATTTTCGTTTCTTTTTCTTTCCAACGAATAACGATCGATAATGCAATCACTTTGAAATTAAAAAAAAAGAACTAACGATCGAGATAAGAAGTCGTTAATGTATATTTATAGCAACCAGCCAAGAAACAACCAAAATATATTTAGAGGGTGTGAGTATAGGATGTGGATGAAGAGAAGACTCAGATCCACATCTCTAGATGCAAATCAAAATTATATTCATTTGTATTTGTTCAGTATATTAATTTTATTTTGTTTAAATAATTATCAATCATTCATCAATAGGAAAATTGACTGTTGCATGCCAATTGACTTCGTACGTAGTATGATTATGAGAAGATAACAGCTAGAATAAGATAAGCTTAAACAAATTCGTATTGATGATCTAATAATAATAATAGAGAGTTATAGAATATTTTAACGTTGACAGGATCATGATCATATTTTGAACTAGTCATAGTTGTACGAGTGCTATTCAGTATTCGCATTAATTTTCATTTGTTTTATCTTAGCCAAAAAAAAAAAGAAACAACTATTCATAATTGAGTAACATTATTGATCAACTGCATTGGGTGTCTTAAATTCAGCACTAAAACACATCACTTGAATCAATGTTACAAATGTAATTATAGCATTTGAATAAATCTTGCTGAGATTTAATCAAACTTCTTGTAGACAATTGATTCACATTAAAACGGTTAAGATTATTTGACTGATATTTTATCAACATATTCTACTAAGTGTTCGTGTGAGAGTTCAACGAAAGTGAACATATATCTTTTTCAACATAGTCAATTTTCAAATAGATATGGTAAACTACTAGTTTTCTCAAACAAATATTCAAGTCAAAACTTTCTATTAAGACTTTTCGTGCTTCGATTGATGCTTAGACATATCCATAATATAAAGTAAAATGGTGTCTATTATTTGAATGTGTTTCATCATCAATTATGAAAACGACTATCGTTTTTCCTTTGCGTCGTTGATTGAATAAAAAGTAAACATGCCAATTGAGTTTGAATTCGAAGATATCAATTGACTAACGAAGGAAGAACTACTATTGAGATTCGGTCGAACTATTCAATTTCCGATATCTTTATTTTGTCAGAGGCTTCTGTAGAACTTCAAACTGACTGAAATTTTTTTTTTTGCATTAAGTCTTAAGATCTTATATATAGTGGCAGTTTTCCTCTGATTAATCGCCATATTATGAATTCAATAGCACCATTAAATTTCAATAGTAACTCAAATTCGTTTAGGACTTTCACCAGTAGATAGTATGCAGTATCTACAGACAAAGAATCAAACATCTAAGAAGGTTTCTTTTTTTGAGTCTAGATTTGGATCTAATTCGAATCCATATATATTTATGGTGTAGTTGAACACTGAACAAGATTATTTTTTTATTGTGAAAGTGATTATGATGTGATTGATCATTAACAAAAGTAATTCTTGTTGATAGGAAAAAAAACTTCTTGAATATAAACTATATCATCGTGTTCATTTTGATTTTTATAAATGAAAATCATTGCATTCAACGAAAATAAGTATGGTTACTTTTTAATTTATGTAAATAATAATGTTTCGTATATTGTTTTACACTATTAGATAATTTATACTGATTCATTCAATAATCTTTGACTTACAACATATCAATCGAATAATAATAATAATGACAATGAACAAAACAATTTTGATATTCAATCAATATTTTCAAATAATGATCTTGCAAAACCACCTCATTTTAGTCATGTGTCTGTGTATATTTTTTGAATTCTACTTCTAATCATCGTATGTCTGATAGGCACATTTTTCGATTGTTTTCTTGTTGTAGTATTATAATATTTAGTTGTATGTGATAAATTCTATTAAACTATAGTACACATAACAAGAACAAATATTTTTGAATTCTATAAATATTTTATTATATATAATATTAGAAATAATGAAAAAAAATCATGTTTTTATTCATATCTCTTCACATAAATAAAATACATTCGTTATTAGTGGAAATCTATTAGCATAATATCTGTAGATATGGATGTGATTATAATAAAAGACAGACACACGTGGTATTATTTCGTTACTCACTTTTACTACCTATTTACAATGACGATGTTGGAAAAAACCTTGATAACAATGCAAATAACATTGTTTCATTTTATTATATAAGTTTATCTTTGTTTGCTCTTCTTCTTCCTCGACTTGTTGAGATATCGATGCAAACTTCAAAAGATAATAAAACATAATGATTTGAGCAAAACAACTAATTCAACAAAAAAAAAGAATGATCTCTATCTAAAAAATTAAAAAACTTCTGTTGTATCTTCAGAAAAACAATATGTTTTAAACATTTTTACATTAATTAAAAAAGGAATTTGCTTTCTTTCTTGATTTCACACTGTATTATGATTAAAATAAATACTTTGCTTGAAAAAAGGTCACAACAGAAACGAGTAGCTTCATTTTTTCTTTTTCATTTTGGTTTGTCTTTTGATAAGAGGCCTATTTTATCGATTCAAGATATTTTACACATAGAAACATCGACATAGATAAAAGAATTTTCTAATGAGACCAGATAAAAGCAAACGAAAAATAAAAAACAATGAAAACAAACAATATATGAAGCAATGCATTTTGAGATTCTATTCATAATCTTTTGTTTTTTTTTCATTTCTACAAATGACGATCGATCAATAGTGTAATTATTCATTTTTTTTTTTGGTGGATTCTTCGTTTTCATGTCAGATGCACAGAGATTTCGTTCGTCACATGTTTTGTCATTATCGTTTCGTCAGTAACAAAACTCTTGAAATAAAAAAGAAAATCGAACGAACAAAAGATTGAGATAAGAAATTCTTCAAGTCTCCTATAGTAATAACAACAATAAACCAAAAGATAAAAAGTGTCAACACAAAAGAAGAAAAAAACTAAAATAAAAAATATCTAGAGAGAGAGAGATGAATTCGGTTTTTGTCCATTCTTTCTTTTCATCGACATCGAACAAATATTTACATTTTTATTTATTTATTCATTAACCAAAAACAGAACACCATTATTATTATCAACATCATCCAAATGGACAAAAAGCAACATTCAAAATCAACTGCTAGTGGATCTTCTTCATCGTCCACAATAAATAAACCAACGAAAACATCATCATCATCAACAACAGCACCAGTGTCAACATCAACAATGGTCAACAAGCAATATTCAAAATCAACTGCTAGTGGATCTTCTTCATCGTCCACAACAAATGAACCAAAAAAATCATCATCATCATCATCAACAGCAGCATCAGTATCAACACCAAAGATGGGTAGAAGTGCTGCACTCCCTCAACCTGCTCGTCGAATTATTCAAAATTTTCTTCTCGTCTGGCTCGATGCCAATATTGACGAGTCAAAGGAAGATTTTCAAAATTCATTACAACAGTTACGACGAATTGTAGCATCCATTACAACATTCACTGATGCTCAACAATGTTGTGATTATCTTAGTGGCATTACAAAAGAAAAAGCATTTATGATCGTATCGGGCTCACTTGGACAAAAAATAGTACCAAAAATGGAAGCCATACCACAATTAGAATCCGTATACGTTTTTTGTGGTAATCAATCTTATCATGAACAATGGGCAAAGAAAGTATCCAAGATTAAAGGCGTATACACAAAAATTGAACCAATTTGTCAAGCACTAGAAATCGATCGAGAACGATGCGATCGAGCTATGATCTCGGTTAGCTTTAATGGTCTCGATCCTCTGTTCATGTATACACAATTATTAAAGGAAGCACTTCTAGAAATCGAAGATGACGATAGAAAATCTCTCAAAGATCTGGCTGAATATTGTCGTGAACAAGATGATATTTCTGAAGATCAAATAAAACAAGTCGAAAATGAATATCGTAATCATACGGCAGTATGGTGGTATACAGCTGAAACATTTATTTATCCGATGCTTAATCGTGGACTTCGACAAATGGATGTTACTATAATACTTAAGATGGGTTTCTTCATTCGACATCTACATAATCATATTGCCGAACTCCATCGCGAACAACAAAGCAGCATGCCAATAAAATTTCAAGTCTTTCGTGGACAAGGTTTGTCCATGGAAGACTTTGAAAAGATGAAAAAGACCAAAGGAGGACTTATGTCCTTCAATAATTTCCTGTCGACAAGTCGTGACCGAACGATTTCACTAGAAAAGTTTGCACGACCAGCCACACGTAATCCTACTTCTGTTGGCATCCTCTTTGTTATGACCATTGACGCGGCTATTTGTACAAAATCATCGACACCTTTTGCCGAAGTAAGCAAAGTTGGCTACTACAAAGATCAAGAGGAAGAAATTCTTTTCTCCACTCATACAATTTTTCGTATCGATCGCATTGAACGTCTTGAAGACAAGCATACAGATCGTCTCTGGCAAGTCAATCTCACCCTTGCTGGTAACCAAGATGATGATTTTAACAAACTTACAGCACATTTACGCGAAGAACAGAGTTGGTCAATAGGTTGGGCTCGCCTTGGTCATATACTTATTAAACAGGGCGAGCCTGGAAAAGCAGCATATCTCTATCAGCTGCTCCTTGACAAAACATCTTCTGATAAGGATCGAGCGGATTACAATCTTCAACTTGGCACGGTATATCAAAGCATAGGAGAATACTCGAAGGCAATAACATTTTACGAAAGAGCAATCGATTTCTACAAGAAAATGAGCCCTCCGAGTCAGCTCAACTTGGCTTCTTCCTACAACAACATCGGTGTGGTGTATAGAAACATGGGCGAGTACTCGAAAGCACTTTCATCGTATGAACGATCACTTGAAATCCAAAAAATAGCTCTTCCTCCGAATCATCCCAACTTGGCTTCTTCCTACAACAACATCGGTTTGGTGTATAATAACATGGGCGAGTACTCGAAAGCACTTTCATATTACGAAAAAGATCTGGAAATCAGTCTGAAAGCTCTCCCTCCGAATCATCCCGACTTGGCTAAATCCTATAACAACATCGGTAATGTGTATGGTAAAATGGGCGAGTACTCGAAAGCACTTTCATCGTACGAACGATCACTTGAAATCCAAAAAATAGCTCTCCCTCCGAATCATCCCGACTTGGCTGCTTCCTACAACAACATCGGTGTGGTGAATGATAACATGGGCGAGTATTCGAAAGCACTTTCATCGTACGAACGATCACTTCAAATCCGAAAAATAGCTCTTCCTCCGAATCATACCGACTTGGCTGCTTCCTACGAAAATATCGGTCTGGTGTATTATAACATGGGCGAGTATTCTAAAGCACTTTCATCGCACGAACGATCACTTGAAATCAAAAAAATAGCTCTCCCTCCGAATCATTCCGACTTGGCTGGTTCCTACAACAACATCGGTTTGGTGTATGATAACATGGGCGAGTATTCGAAAGCCCTTTCATTTCTTGAAAAAGCACATGAAATCGATCGAAAAACTCTGCCACCAAATCATCCACATATTGCACAATCGAAAAGAGATGTTGACCGTGTAAAAAAGAAAATATAATTGCTTTTTTTTTAAACGAGAAAATAAATTGGCCTTCTTGAACACAAGGCTGGCCGAAACGCACTAGCTGCAAGAATTTCGAACACGCGCGACCAGGGATATCCTCCGTATTTTGTTGGGTTGTACAGTGGACAAAGCCGGCAATAGTTAGGTTAATATACATTTATGTATGTATGACTAGTACATCCATGATCATCATCTTTGGAAAGACGATGACAAGATGGATGCTTCTAGTCATACATACATAGATGTATGTTATGAGGGCCTACCATCTGCACGCCTGTACAGGTTACCAACAGAACGTCGGATATCCCTGGGAAGGTTCATTTTGTTTTAGAGCCACCCTCGAAAGCTCCGTTTGTTTTAAATTATTGTTCTTCTGTTACGAAGAACAAGAAGAAACAGAAAGACACGATAAAAGACGACGTCGACGGAATTGTAATACACGCAGCGTATGATCACAACCGGTTGTTTTAACGCATGCTGTGATATTGAGTGCACGATATCTATGTCGTCTTTACACATGTTATGTTCAATTTATTTTTCTTTTCATCTGGAATGTGTAAGAACAAATGAAATGTCGTGCACTCAATATCATATTATACGAGTGATGTCTGAACGAAAGAAGAACACAAAAAGAAATAATTATCGACTATTCTCTTTGATTAGTAACATACATATATAAGAGATAATTGAAAGAAAAAAATGAAACAGGAATTTTTATAAATTTAATCATTTTTGTTACTTATTACATAACGTTTTACAAAAATACTATTTTACGATCATATTGATTGAATATAATATTAAACAGAAGTTCAAACAGATCAAGTGCAGTAGTTGATTTTTTTTTTAAAAGAATGTTTTTATATTTTTTAATAATAATTTACAGTCAAAATTATGGATCTAATATAAAAATTTGTAGAATAGTTTTTCATTCATACATTGATGAAGGTGACTATTTATTTTTATTTAATAAAAAGAACAGAAATATCAATGGCATTTATGAATATTCAATCGACGTTAGACTTCCGTCGACTATTCATTCATTCATTATTATTATCGAAAAATGTTTAAACTTATTTATTTAGCTTTTAAATAAATGAATTGAATATAAATTAAGCAAAATGGATAAGCTAAGTAAATCACTTGAAGTTTTAAAATTATTTTCAACAACAACATGAGAAATATTAATAACCCAGTAAATTTGATCTAGAGGTAAAGATGAAAATAATTTTAAATCAGTTACAGCTATTGTAAAAGTATTATAAAAGAAATTCTTTTTTTAATAATTTTGTATGAATTATAAAATAGGATTTAAAAGAAGCAAATTTAACAAGAATTCAAATTGAATCACATGGAATTATAAAAGATAATCCTAATGTTGGATAAAAAGCATTCAAAGGTTTGTTTTATTTCAATTTCAATTAGATGTTCTATGGCGATTTGACGAATCAGCAAATGTAATACATTCGAAAAAGATTCAACCATTTTATCAGAATATTATGAACTTATTTTTTATATTCTTGGTTGATTAATTAATGATGAAAAAATCAAAGTAAGTAAAAAAGAAAATCCTTGTCATCTAAGAAACCTCTTCTAAAGAAGTAATCAGAAAAAAGTTATGCGATTGCTCTAGTTAATCGACAACTTCTGAGTCCATTTTTAGTTAAAACTTAGAGCAGGAGAGGATATTTTTCAGATAATGTAGAATAGGTAGTCTCATACTATTTGACGAAATACCGATTGAGAAACTGTCCATCGTTTGCAGTAAGAATCATAAAATTTTATTTATCATTAAATGTCAATAAGAAATAAAATAATTTAATTATAGTAGTTCACTGTTTATCATTATAGTTAAAGTATGAAGTCGAGTGAGAATGAATTTTTCTTTTTTTTTCCTAATATTAATAATTAATAATTTTCTTTTAAAATATATAATCAATTACTAAATTATTTTCAGGAACCTCTCATGTCCTATTCAGTCAATATGTTATCCTATGATTATAGCACGTTTTCTAATGATAAATGTAATTGGTAAGTTTTCTTTCAAATCATTATTTCAATTAATTATGATTTGTCTTTTATTTTAACAGATCAATTATTTGAGCATGAATCATCAAGAAAAAATCAACGATCAATAACAAGAACTAGAAATATTGGTACAAATGAACAACATCTTTCAATCAGTATTTGACAAATAATGAATGATTTTATTTTCTATGTAAATCTTTATTTTTTATCGCGTATTAGTATTAAATGTGCTACACTAACATATCTATCACATTTATCAATAATTTGATTATCCTACTGTAAGTATGTTTAATGCTTGTTTGAGACTTTTTTTTTGTAAAGTTTTAGTTCAGTAAAATACATTTATTTTATAATCCAAAATTACTTCCAATGTTGAAACAGTAAGAGGATTCAGATGAATAGGATAAATCTGATGAAGGAGCTTGTAGCAGAGTTTAGTTGACGTGGCTTCAATTGGTTATGGTCTCAAAGTTTTAGTGAAAGTTATCTGATAGATATGAAGATTTTACTATTGAATTGTTGAAACAAAACGATATGAAATTTTAATCTTTTTGAAACCAACAAAAGACTAGAACATTATCAGACTCGAAAATATATCAAGTAGCACACTTTACTAAATAGGTTAGACATACAAAAATTTTAGAGTCCAGAGGCTGCATTTATATATCAGTGATTGAAATTATACACAATCACATAATTACCTCAAAAACAAAGTTCGAAGCTAAAGTACGAATTCTGTACATATCTAGTACGAAAGAGATGTTCGGTTTTTTATTACGATATGAAATCAATTGTATTCTCGAATGCTTGTAATACATTAAAATCTATCGAACATCGAGGTATCTTTCTTTTTTCTTTAAGATATTACATATCTTTTATCTTTATGTGAACACGGCGATCTACATTTATGTGATACATATGCAAATTTCCTTGCTACATTAATTAAAAAGAATAATTCATCTTTTAAGACTATTATCATTATCAAATTCATTTAATAATTCTTTTATTAATGAATATTCACTTGTATCAATTAATTCACAAGACAGTTCAAGGTTAGATTAGAATATTAAATCGTCTCTTGTTTTTGATAAAAATATTTTTTCTTTTTGTTTTTAAATATATTCAATTAGGTATATTAGTAGAATTACTTTCTACATTTACAATCATAGGAATTGAATTATTAGAAGATTCTACTCAACATAGTACAAGTTCTTATATTCTTGCTAAAGTAGACAAATGAAACTTATGATTACAATAAACTGTTTATATGTATAAAATAGGTTGCTCTAGCTCAAATTGTGCGTAATATTGATTTTCTCGAATACTAACTTATCTTGAACAACAACAATAACAGATAAAAAAAAACAGTAAATTAAAACTAATCATATATAGAAGATAAAAACAATATCTTGGTTTTTTTTTGTTTTACTTTTATTTTTTGAATCGATCATGTCAATGGATGCATAAAATTCATTATTCATTACAACAAACAAATACTTCTGTAATTATATCCAATGATGAAGTGCAATGTGAAACAATATCATATTTACCAACATTAATATTTGATTGTTTAGCTCAAACATCAACTCGAATATAAATTGTTTGTTATTTTTGTCTTTTATATAAGTTAAATGTTTAGAAGGTATTTATGCTCTTTCAAATGTTTTAGGATCCACAACAATTCGATCATTTTTTTTCATAATCTATATGAACTTCGTTTATTTATTTTATATGAGATGATCTTAGTAATTTACAATTATTACTCGATATTATTAATTTAGTCTTTTCAAGTAAAGAGAAAGAAAAAGACGTTTATTTTTTTTTTCTTTGAATTTTTTCTTATTTGAAGGTTTATCAAATAATGCAAATGAAATGAATGATATTCAATCAACAGAAAAAAAAATTTCATTTTTTAATCAAGTAAAACAATTTTTTTTTGTTAAAAGAAGATCTATGAAAATGTTTTTCTTTTTTTTTATTTATAGAATTTCGTCTATATTTATTATGTGTTGTTGAAGATACAAGTTCATCAATTCCACAATCATCAAAAATAGAATTTCCACCTATTTTTGGATCATTGTAACAAATAATAAAATGTTTTGAAAGAAGTAAAAATGATTCAACTAATTCGAAAATTAAACTATTTTATTATCGTTCTCGAATTATTGCAGAAATATTCACAATTATAAGTAAAAGCATCTTTTCACATCATCTGTACGTATTAAAAAAAAGTAATAATAGAATTTATACTTTAATAGACTTCACAATTATTGTTGATAGTGTTCGAAATGAAAACATTTTTCATGACAAATTTTCGATGTACTTCTTGTTCATTTATCTTCACATGTTACTATTGATTTATCTAAGGTTATTTTTCATTTTTTTAATAATCTTCGATTATACGTTACTTTTCTTTTTTTTTTCAAATAGTATCAATCACTTTTGGATATTTAATCAACACTATTTGATGCTGCATTATCATTTGAATTATGACCGATTGATCCATTTGTTGCTGTTTTTTTGAACATCAACAAAAGCAAACGTTGGTTTGTTTTTATGAAATTTTTCTGTTGTTTAAATTTTTTTTTTGTTAAGGACATCAGTCATCAAACTATAAATTGATGATTAATGAATATAAATACTATTCTTTGATGTCTTATACAAAATTCAACTGAAGATGTTATATTAACATGATGGAATAATCCTTTATCATTAGCTAAAATGAAATACGATATGAAACTTTTAGTGAGTAAGTATTCCAAAATGATTTTATTTATAATTTAAAAACTACGATTCTTACTTCTTTTTAGAGTTTCTCTTCGAATTTCACATGACGTAATATCACGAATTTTCGGAAAATAACATGGTCAAATCAATATGACATTAGTTTCTCTGCATATTATGAAAAATGATAATGAATCAAAATAATAGTGTATTTGTACATATAGATATGATAGTTCAGCAATAGGAACATTATTTTTGGTTGAACTCGTCATCTTTGTAACGAGTACCAGAATGATTGATTTAAAAATTTCGATGTGAAACTTTAGAAAAAAGAAACTAACTGAACAGATAAAAACTAGTTTCTATCAAAGTCAGGAGATCTTAAGCTCTCATCATAATTTATATGATAGTAAGATATCACCCATTCATTTGAGAAGAAAACTTTCCTACATTTCATTAATTACTAATGAGCTAGCGAAATACATTTGACTTAAAAAATTTCTATGTTTTTATAAGGTCTATAATTTTAGCTAAATAATTTCGAAAAAATTCTAAATGATTTTCGTCAATCGTTAGTTCATGATGAAACTGTATATCGTCTTGATATATTTTCATATTTAACTAGTTTAAATGAATATTTTAAATTATTATTATAATGAACACATATTCTCAATATACTTGATTATTCGCACAAGAAGCATGATGGTCATCAATATAAACACCATCATCATTAATAACACACTTATTCATAAATGATTAATTACAATCTTATTATGATTTAATATATATTATCATAAATGATATGTTGAACATTTAACATCACTAATAACATATCGTCAATTATTATTTTTTATTTGTACAAAGTGATACATAATATGTATGCACATAATTTATTTGGTCTGATACATTATACATCAGTTGCAAGTCATTTATTCATTTGTGAAGGAAATACATTTAGATGAAAATGGTTTTTTTTATTAGTTTTATTAATTGAATAATTTCTTCTATTATCATATATATCTGTATTATGTTTAGCTGAATTAATTGTTTATGATCGTATTAAAATGACGTTAACATTTGATGAATAAATATTAAATAAACAATTATTAACGAAATATTTACCGTTAATTTTATAAATATAATCAATAACAATATCAATCAATATTATTAAAGAAGATTTTAATAATCTTTATTGTCCTATAGATATAACATCGAAATTGACGCACAAGTGCTTATAAATGTAACTTATGAAAGATTATTACCATTTATGATGTCATTGGTATGTTTTAGTTTAATTTATCGAAATAAATATATATATATACATAATGAAAATTTTAGTCCAATTTAAGAAAAAATGTTTGTTTTTTCTTTAACATTGTTGATATGTGTTAGTAATAGATGAGATTTTTTTAATAATTCAAAATTTCGAAAAATTTTTTGAAATCGAAAACTAGTCAGTCTACTCTACTTACATATAAAAGAAGAACGAGTTTCAATGATATAGATAAGAAACAAAATATGTACAATTTCAAGTAATAAAAATCGTAAAGAAAAGTATTTAAACTATATTAGTACAATGACCAAAGAAATTCCTCTCGAATCTCATTAATCAAATTCTGAGTAGTGCTATATGTACTGCTACAACTAAAGAAAACGATGTCTTTCTAATATGATGAAATGACTAATGAAGAAAACGAACATAACTTTTAAAAATCAGAAATTTCAAGTTTACGAAACATTCTTCGAAACAAATATCATCAATCGGTGACTAAAAATGCAATAGTGATGTTCATTTTATATTCATTTCGATCGAAGGAGATCTATTTAAAAAAAAAAGTAGCTGAGTTTTATAAAACATCACGAAGTCTTTCTCGAGCAAGAAAATTGCATTCGAGAATTTCGACAAACTTTCTATAGGTTTAAATTCCTGAACTCTGAAAACGTATTGGATTTTTTTTCATCGCATTAAATTTTTAGGATAATTCTTATAGTAAATGAAAATTGATTTGAGAAAATAACAAACAATATAAATCTGTTCTTTTTTTTTTGTCTTCTTAGGATTATGTATAGTTATCAATATCTCATTATCTTATCCTTGGTATTTTATCAACATAATGATTAATATCAAATGAAACAAATTTAAATGATGTTGAAAAAATATTTTAATACAATTTATGTAAAAAGTCTTTTATCATACTTCTAAAATAATCAATCATATTCAATTGCATTAATAGATTCTATGTCAATTTATTTTGATAAAATACAAAATCATGTTGAATTAACATGTCAATTTTCAACAGATAATATACATGATTTATTACGTTTTATAATATTTATACCAGAAATAATTTATATAAATATATTTCAAAAAAATAAACCATTTCTTAGTTGTAAAACAGATCAAATATAATATTATCTTGTATATTATCGAAAACATTATTATCAATATTTGAATATCTTTTTAAACCACATGCTTTAACTGTATCAAATAAATTAATTCTTAAATTTAATTGAACTAGATAATACATCATTTATAAAATTATTACTCTTATTATTTAATGATCTTTATTATTTAACAAGGAAAATTAAGTATATATACATATTAACATGATTTACGTTGTATAGCTATATTATTATTTTCTTTATCAACATTTAAGTAATGTATGCTATACCAAGACAACGTTGGAGTTGGGTGATTATTAAGAATACAATTTCAAGAAATATAACTTCCACTTTTATCGTTCAATTAATTTTCACCATCAATCAATCTAATTATGAAAATAAATAAATAACAAATAATTTAATCATAGAGAAAATTTTCAACACAAATACAACACAATAGTAACAAGGTTCAAAAATAAACAAGATTTTTATCTGTTCTTTTTTTATCAATAGTCAATATATGTAAAGACGTTCAAAATTAGACACAGGCTCAAATAATTTATTTAAAAATATTGAACAATTAGGTAGACGTGATTTATTGTCAGAAGAATTTTAAACTTTATTATACAGAAATCTAAGTTAAGAGAAAAACAAAATCATTGATAAATTAATTCCATCATACAAAAAATCTAGTGTTTCTCTCATTCTGATTACTTGTTATATTCTATGAATACAGTCTAAAATATGAGAAATATTTTCTATCAATTAGAAAATTAGAGTATGAACATCCACCTTTAAAAACATATAATTTAGAGTTCATTTCATCGTTTTATTTTCTCGTCATGGCCTTGATTTAACATCATCATTAGAAATTCTAATTGAACTATATATTCGTTGGTTAATTACAAAATATATCTATTTGATTTATTTTCATCATCACAACATTTATGAAGTTTATATAATTTATGTGATGAATATTTTTGTACATGATTTGGGTGTGGGTGTAGGTGTGAATATAAGTGTGCGTATGTTTGCGTTGTTCATTAGACACCCACACCTACACCCATCGTTTGATCTTACTTAGGGAACATATCTAACTATCAGACATCATTTGAATTCACTTTATGACAAAGACCGAGTAGACTTGATGGCCGTGTCCTTCTATAGTAAGCCGTTGGTTGTTGTTTTAAGAAATTAAATATCTCGTGAACGTGAAAGTCTTCGAACTGACAAATCGTTTTTGGGTCAAAATTATGTTCATTATATATGTTTCAAATCTCTATCGCTATTCCTATCTTAAAAGAAATAGGTATGGTAATAGTGTGTCTTTTCCATCACTCATATAAACTAGCTATTTTGATGATCTTATTTTAGGATAGGAGAAAACAAAAGAATTGAAACTGTAACAATAAATTAATCTTGCTAAGACCTGTCTCTATGACAAAATTTCAAGTTGAAATTCGAAAAGCACTTTTTTCTGTTACTACGACATTCATTTAAAAACTCTCGCGTAAAATTACAGTACCTCTTCTAGCAATAAGCTACGGAAAGAAAGTCTTTTTAGGATATTTATAGCTTATTTCGGTCTACAAGAAGCATATACTCTCGATCCGCAAGTAATTTATCAGTTTGAAGAACTTCCATTCTCAGTACCACCAATACTTGAGAATTTTTTAAAGAATATTCTCATGTAAACATATAAGTTTTGTTTTTTATTTATTTAGTGAAAATAACAAAGCATTATCAATTATAAATAGTTAACGCTTCTACGATTATTATTATCCTTCATTTACACGATCAATCTGAATAATGATAAATTTTTATCTATGACATTATCGGCTTGAGAAAAAAATATTTGGTTATTCTTT